AAATCAACAAGATTGACCTCCCTGTTCAGATTTTGCTGCGTCACCCCTGGACCAGAACATGATGAGGTCCCTGGTCAAAAGCCTGAATTCATTGAAGGAAACGACCTGGTTTTGTAATGTGGGCAAAACTTTGTAAAAACATGTTTTGCAATTTGTTGTAAGATAAATTTGAGGGCTCCATTTTCCAAGCTTTGCTGTTTGGGGCTATTATATAGTGCCAGTTTCTTGTGATGCAATGGCTCGGGGCTCGGCATGCCATGGAAGCAACGATGAATCGCAAGAAGAAGCTGAAGAAGATGTCCCGGATCCACAAAGTTTCTGACCAGGAGGAGCGCTGCGGAGCCCGTTCCTCATCAAAAAGTTGCAAGCAGGCAGATAATTTGCTAAAGACATGGAAAGCAGGTCGTCGATGCTTGTTTCGGCACTGCGTGCGCTTCGGGAACTTACACAAGTATACAAACTGTGTGCTCGGTTTGTATACTTGTGTTTGTTAAACACAGAAGCCCACAAACATCTTTCGGGGACGGAAGATGTTGGGCCTCGGACGCGTGCAAGGCATCAGCTGTGAGCTGTGTTGATCGTAAAGTCCAATGGCCAGACTGCGTATTCAGATCTTCTTGATGTGCTTCCACCATTTTCCACCATTCTACTTTTGGAAGAACACTTTGACACTTACATGCTACCGGAAGGAAGAACGAGCAGAAGAATTGCCGTCCCTGATAATTGAATCTGCACACGTATCTGGCCTGCACGCAAGTGCGCAACGCACAAGACGACGAAGAAGATCTCCTCGTGCTCTGGTGCGTAGCGCCTTGCAACTTGGCCACGCTTTTGCGTCCTGAAACAACCTCAGCTGTCACTTTGTGTCCACCATCTTGCAGCACTCTGCAGAACAGTTCTTCAAGGGCTCAGCCTTGAGCGAAGTCTTTTCAAACGTGTTCGCTCCGGATGACCGCATCAAACTGCGATCAGACTCGCTTGACCGGTGCACTCAATTTGGAAGCAAAATCCGGATCTGCAGCTCTTGGGGAGGTGCTCCTAGACTTGCTCCTGCAGGAACTACCAGTTCAGATTTCATCGCAAGATGGGCACCTGCCAGAGTTTGAGGACATTGCCAGAATTGGTGGACGGGAAAATCCACTGGAACGCCTTACTTTGTGGGTCTGAAAACCGTGGTTTCCTGTTAACTTTCCCTTCAACCAATCCATGGAGGCATCGGAGACGCAAGCACAGCGCCACTTCCAAGGACAAAGAGTTGGTCATTTTGCTGCGCAAGCTGTCAGGAGGTGGTCCGGTACGGTCAGGTGACGAGTTCAGAAGCGAGTTCGAACGGTTGGGCGCTGTGCTTGCTTTGACCCATCCACTCACCGGTGGTTGCAGCCGAGCCGAAAGCCCTTTTGAGCAGTGCTCTTTTGGAAGCTGAAGGGCAAGGAGCACGGAGCACGGCCGTTGTTTGAGACATGGTTGCTGCCCCCCGAGACAAGTCAGAGTCCTCGAGGGGTTTTCGATGGGATTTCTTTTTGGTGAGATAAGTGCCCTACTCATGCAGTGTGATCCTCCAGAGATTCATGCAGTGTTTCCGATTTTTTTTTTTAGGAAGTTCCTCATGCTTTGGTCATTTTTTTGTCCGTCACTCCATGTGTATATTGGATCATTTGGGACAACCCCTATGGAGATCCACCAAGGAATCTGGGGGCTTCATGACACCCATGTTGGAGTCTTAAGATGATGGTTCAGTGACTTACCCGTTTCACCTTTGATGTCCGGCCAAACCACTCCGTGGTTCTTGGGCTGCCGGCGCGGACGATCGTCACAATTGTGTCCCCACTGAGGCCTTGTTTGTTCATCCCAGTGCCTTGGCGGAGATCGCGAGAGAAGACACACAATACACTTGCAATATAGTAGGATGTTCACTAGTGAAGGAAACTATTTGGAGACGCTTGTGTTTTACATGCTCGGTGGTACCTGAGGCTGTGTTGATGGGTGACTGGATGGCCGAAGCTCGTGAAGAGCGTGAAGATCCCTGGATCCCCTCCTGGATGTTGCCAAAGGACAGGTGGAGGGGGTGATAGTAGGGTGATAGGGCGTGATTGGGGGTGATGGTGGTGATATGGGGGTGATAGTGTATAGGAGTTCACGGACCTTATCATAGCTCCATGTCCGGATGGTATTTGGGGAGCTAGCTCGAATCAACACCCTGTGGCAAAGGCGCAATATTCCACCAGTGGGAGGGGGAGATTGTGAACCAAAAAGGGTCACTCTGACTGGAAAATGGTCCCTTGCAAGACTACTTTCCTTTACGAACGGGGGGGTGAATTGTACGGGAGCCGAACCATGACCCCAGCAGCCCAAACCACAATGACACCCACCTCATCCAATCCAACCTTGACCAACTACACACCACGTGTATCCCGCCAACCAAGCAATGAATAGCGAGCCAGCCCATTCCAAGAAAGCCAGTCACATCCGACCTGATGAACGCTCCCAAACGAATGCTCCTATCCAGCTCAGCAACTTATGTGAAGCGAGCCCGCTCTAGGAGCTTGTGTGGCAGCCCTTGAGCAAGGAGCAACGTCGGCTCCGGCGCCGCTACGCTCTCTTCGCGATTTTGAGCGACTTGATGGAGCCGAAGACACGCAGGATTTGGAGGTGGCAGAGTGAAGTAACAGAGATTCAAGGACGCAGTTGAAGGACCTTCTTGGCCGCTGGCACCCTATGTAATTATAGACTATCTCATAGCTACCCCATTCAACCATGCAACAGGCCTTGGTGAAGTGGGAGCCGTCCCTTTCCATTCCTTTCCTTGATAAAAGGAGACAGGTTTGGAGAGGGCGGGGGAGGTTGATCATAAACCCAAAACAACCCCCCCCAAAGTGTTGAAGGAGGTGGTTTGGCCTATGTTGCGGGAGGTGGTTAGGGACCATGTTGCTGGCATGCCCTAAGTAGTCCTTTAGATTTAGGTGTCAGGCGATCCCCTATGTTCATGTATAGTGACATGGACCATCATGCACCCCTGTGATTTGTTTTACATTTTTTTTCTCATGCTTGGACCGAAGATTAGGGGACAGACACCACTCATCTATGTCAGATCCAAAACTTCTTCATTGGGTGAGTGAAGTCATCAAGGGTCATCAAGGCCACAGCTTGTGGCGTGTGGTGGTTCGCAGCGTTTGTGAGGTTACAGTCACCGTGCAGCTTGTCCTATGCTGCTTCTACTGGTCTTCGTCTTGCTGGTGGTGACCCTGAGCAATAATATCCAGGATCGGGCGCCTGACACAGCAGGATGTTGGGTTGGGTGTTTTTGACCATCCATGGCTGGGCCCGATCATGTTCAAGCAGTTACCAACACCACACTTCAACAACGCAATGTTACTGTAAATGCTTTACATGTTGACTGTTGATTAATAAACCTGCTACATTGGAATATTTCACAAAATCTCTCTAAAGAGGGTCTACGAATCTATATTCTCTGTATAGAATCAAGAGTCAACATATGTCAACATTATTGCAAATCACATCTCTTTTTGGGATCAGTGAGTTTAGATCAGGGGAGCAGGTACTCTATGGTTTGGTTGTTCCATCTTGTTCCCATGTGACCTGACGATCATGCCTTTATTCAATACCTGACGATGGATTTTGTGGTATGTTGCTGCAGGTTCTGTCCATAGGCAATGGAAAGCTTCCTTACAATCAGGAGAAGGGGATGTGCAGTCATCTGGGTACAGAATCAGAAACAGCTTCCTTCATCAGCTGTCGCGTATCATAAGATGTCCTGACCTTACGGCTTCCACCCAACACACACAAATGTCAGGGGTGCGGTGTTGCCTTTTCTTCTGGTTCCCAGAACGCTGCCTGTTCTTCTCTGTTGCCGTCCCATGAAAGGGTTATCCTTTTCGGTTCCACCATTTAACGGGGACTTCCTGCAACGATTTGGCTTGTTTGGGCCTTCTTGGGTCTTAGAACAACACATGTATCGTACTTTGGCATGATTTTGGGCCGTAACTGCTTGGGTTCCATCTGTTTTTGGAGGGAACTGATTCCATCGCGGTCGGTCCTTTTTTTCGCGTCGTCAGGCGCCGTTGGATGCGGGGACGCCGCAGCTCTTCGGCGTCTTGGGCTAATGGAACGGGTGCGGCGATGTGGGAAAGCGGCGAGGTTTTTGTGGCACAAGAAAGAAAGGAGAAGCTGAGGTGATTTTCATGGTGTTTTCAGTGGGTTTTACCTTGCACATTACATCCGGGGTGTTAGGAGCTGAGTCGAGGTGTTGCCAAACGGGTGTATTAAAACGTATTAAGCAAGTGTACAAGCTCACTAGAGTCACTCAAGTTTGCAAACCTGTGTGGAAGCTATCTCAGAATCTCAGAGGTAAAAGCATCATTCGGGGTCTGTTTGTCCCCAACCAAAGCAACAGGTGGTTTGCAATTCCTTTCAGGGACATGTCGGACATGTCTAGTCTCGTGTGGACCTCCAACGGACGGATCTCCGATCTGGGTCTGAACAGCCTCAGGAGACGGTGAGCTCTTCCGAGAGGGGCAAGTGGCGAAGGAGCGCAGCGTCGGTTTGGGTGTTTCGCACACTGGTCGCCTTGAAGGGTCAGTTTGGACGTTGACCTTCAAGTTGAATGTGTCCATCATGCCACGAGAACAGTTGCTTGCTGACCCCTGAACACCTTTAAGTAAGCCATGCTTTGGTGATGAATTCCAACAATCCCTTGACAAATCGAGTGCATTTATTGGGAGCCACCCCTCAATCTGAACACATCATCATCTCCCCCATATTTGATCCACACCACATCCACACGTGTCTCCCATCCACACCTTTCGCTCCCCCTTTCCGCCCACGGCGCGGCGCGTCCTGCGCTGGAGCCTTTGACGAGGAGCTTTGGGGTGCCTTGCCCAGCCCTGAAACCATCGCTGCACGGGCCCTGCGCAACGCCACGGCCTGCCGCATCGAAGCCGTGCCTGGGGCGATGGTGAGGGTCGTGGTTGCGATGGGTGGCGGTCGTAAGTGGGTGGCGGCAGGAGTCGGAGGGGTGGTGACCGGGAGTCCATGTGTTTTTTCTGTTGTTGTTGTTGTTGTTGTTCTCGTTGTTGTTTCATTGTTGTTTGTTTTCAGATGCCAGGCATTTTTGGTGGGGGAAAAAGCGAAGCGGACCTGCTTTTTGGTGGTGGTTGTGATTGATTTTAACATGGTCCAAAGTGGTGAAGACGCCAGCGACGTCAACGCAAGTGGTGAAGACGTTGGACAGGGGTGATACTTGGGCACATAATATTGGGCACTCTCTTACCTTGGAGAGATGGACCAGTTCCCTCTCTCTCTCTCTCTCTCTTTGAAGCAAGGGGTTCCAAATCAAGGTTGCATGATTTGCAACGATTCGCTTGATAAGGACTGGTGACCATGGGGGTTTGGCTATGCCGCTATGCATGGCCTCGTCGTTTCACCAACCAGCCTATACGTGTCAATCGACTTGAAGGATTCCACCACACCCGTTTGACACTGGGAAGATCACATCGATGAACGAGGCTCCTCTGAAAGGTTTTATAGTAAAGATCGCAGCTCGCCTGGTCTGCCCCAATCCGTCCTATTAAGGGCCCGGCGATTGACAGGAATCCAGATATGTTTGATGCAACAACCTCATGCTGAAACTGCCCTGGCCTTGTGTTACAAAACCTAATTTCTTGCAACCTTTGACAGTCCATTGCAAGTGCTCCTCACAGCTCATTTGTACACAACCTCTCTTTTTGTTAGTCCAGCTGCCTGCCTTCTAGTCGTGCCTGCCTTCCACCTGCTAAATTTTCACTGCAGCCTGTCAGCCAGGGCTGGTGCCAGGAAGCGCCTTTGGCCTTTCAGACTCTTGTGAAGAGCTCTTCCAACACGATCCTTTCTCAGGATCTGCAGGGATTTTTGTGGCTAGCTGCTGGCAGGATTTGCTCCACAGGCCGCAGTCAAAGCAAAATCATACAAAACCTGTAGGTCACCTGTCACTGCGACGATCTTAGATCTTCTCGAAGGCCTTTGAACATCTTCTTCATATTTCACCACACCACCAGTGGGATGGTTTTTCTCCCTCATAGCATTCTCCGCCTGTTGATCCTGCAGTTGGACGTCCAGGCCATGAGCGGCGCTAGCGGAGCCAGCAGCGCGTGCTCCTGGTTTTCATGCGAGGCAGAGAAAGGGGTCCGGCGGCCAAGTGGGACATCCAGGAGAGGAATGAAGCGCAGCATGCACTAGGGCTGACACAAAAGATTTCAAGAATATGTCTCGCAGGGTGAAAATGCTGCCCAGCCCTTGTACCTGATTGCACCTTCGTGTGAAAAAGGCTTTGGTGTTTTGCTTTGACGGCAAGGTCAAACTGTTTTCATGCCTTAGATCCCTTTTTCACCTCCTCGAACAACTCATTTGGAGTGGCATGGAGTGGATTCAATGGGCACCAATTCCGCCAGACCACATCCATTTGCGGTAGGAACCGGCTTCAGAAGGTTTCATGATTGAAAGCAAAGAGCGTTACTTGGTGTCTAGGATCGGACAAAATCTATGCGTCGGCCCGTTTTCCCCTCCTCCCTGGTTTGGTTCAGAATGGAAGGAGGAAGGCTCCTATCTCCTCTCCCCTGATCTCCCTGATCCCCAAGAGGGTACTGGGTCGCCAGAGATTTTATCCATTACCCATATCAGAAGTTCATGAAGACTCAGCTCAACAGGTATCAACAGGTATCAGCAGAGCTGGGGTCTCATGATGTGGTTTCTAGTGGATCAACTGAGTCCGACAAGTCAAGTCCACGATAAGAAGCAGAGGACATCCAATAGAGTCAAAAGAAGCTTCATTCTGTGTCATTCAAATAACAACATAAGATAGAGCAACCATATTCCCTGTTTTGCTTTCCTTCTCTTGCATTCCTCAACCTGCCAATTCATGAAATCATGCTCAAAACACACAACAACCACATGTTTTGCAGCGTGCAGCGCAGCCCTTGCAGAGCAGCCCATTCGGGCAGCCCGCACCGACCCACAAGGTCGAGCTGGCAGAGGACACGTGCAGCTGCGACTATCGTTTGTTCACTCCACAGTCCGGAGCCTCCACTTGCCAAGCAGCTCGGCGAAAGCGTTGTCGTGTTTGGGTTCTTTGGGTTGTTCAAGCCGGTTACGGTTACAGCTTGGAGGAGACTAGACGCTTTTTGATGCTTGATTTGATTAAACAAACTACCATAGGACACTGAAGAGGTTTTGCAATTCAAATGGATGCTTTTATCATGTTTTTTTTTTTTTAAATCAATAAAGAGTATACAAATATGATATGTCTACATTGTAGTAGTTATCTAGTTAGTTTGTTGACGTTTATTGTTGGGTTCATGAACGATGTTTCCCTTCATGGAGACATGACAGTGGATCAAGTGTATGGATCTCATTGGAATTTGTCCATCAGGAAGGGTAGAAGGTTTGAACGAGACAACCCAACAACTGTGAATAGTCATATTGTAGTAATGCTGAAGACACCAACTGACAGATTGAAATGTCTTTTCCCTGCAGGAAGCTACAATTTTTTCAATCTTGTCGGCCCACCTGAACACACTTTGTAGACTCTTGGTGTGGCTGCAGTGGATGGTAGAAGAAGTGAGTAAGAAGCAAGCCTATTTGGATCAGATGCGGCAATGGTCTATTTGTTTTCAATTGTATACCTCATGCTGGGAAGATGACAAATGTCTGAACCTCGCCCACTGTCAGAGTCAAAACCATCACCATTTCTTAGTTTGCTAAGAAGGCCCTAGTCTCATAGACAGGAAGCCACGGGAGTGGTGCTCCAGCTTCAAGAGTACCAGTTCACTTCGCTACTCCCCTTTGACTATTGGATTGTCAGCAAACCGAACCATAGATGGGCTTGTATGTTAATAGGGGGCCCCCCAAGTCCCAACCAATGGGTTTTAGTGTTAGTATGTTTTAGTCTATGTTTCATCTTCCAGAGAGTCGCCTGGGAGTTCTCCCTACTTTAAATATACGCAACATGGATCATGAGATGAGATCCTATCTCGGCTGCTCATTTCCTCTCATTTCCAAACTCCCCCACACCACACCACTTCAGGCAGAGGCGCGCTTCAGCGGTCTGCACGCGGTGCCCGAGACCTTTTGGCCTTGGGTCCAAGAGTCCCCCGGCCGCACCGCTGCGGCCGTCAGCAGCGGATGAGGTCGGCAGGGTTCCATTCATGTGATTTCTCTTGTTTGGTTCGGTGTCACGTTTTAAACATCGAACCCTAAATCATTCTAAATCAGATACTTGAAAAGTGAAGGACATATATAAACAGGATCATTTTGTGCTTGACTTGATTTAAAGGCAAGAATCACGTTCTGGGACTGTCAGAAGATATAGAAACGAGATGGTTCGTTAACAAGGGTCTTTGTATAGCCATCCTGAAGTTGCCCACATGGGGCAATCCAAGTTCATGACCACCCATTCAAAGTCACCAACAACCCTCCAAAAGTTAACATGTTGCCGTGGAAGACCCTGTCTCACCTCTTTTTCCCGAAAGACTTGGTCGAAGGGCTCTTCCTAAAGGCACTTGGTCTGTCTAGCTGAGGCTTTTAGCACTTGTAAGAGTCTAGCACTTGCAAAGACTTGATCAAGTTTTAGCACTTGGTCTGTCTAGCTGAGGCTTTTAGCACTTGTAAGAGTCTAACACTTGCAAAGACTTGATCAAGTTTTAGCACTTGGTCTGTCTAGCTCAGGCTTTAGCGCTGGTAAGAGTCTAGCACTTGCAAGAGATTTGATCAAGCTTTAGTGCGACGCAGTATGACTTCCACTTGCAGGAGGTGGAAGTCATCAAGCAGCAGGCCCTGCAAGGTCAGCTGCAGGCCTAAAGGGAACAAGTGCTGTTCCAAGCACAGCAGCAGTTCTTTTCTGGCAAACTCACGTGCTGCTGGGCTCCCAGCAGGGGCTTGGAACAAAGCCAGTGAGTTCAAGTTCAGCAGCATCCAGCATTGGCCAGGTGGTTGGCCACGATCCAAGCCAAGCTGATAAGAGCAAAGGGATTGAAGCAGAGCCAGCTCTAACCCAAGAAGGTCAACCAAGTGCAGCCCAGGGGGTTGATGCAGCTGCAGAACCAAAACCTGAGGAGCTTGAAACAGAGCCAATTGCTACCCAAGGGGTTGCAAATGCAACTGAAGAAAAACCTGAGGGGCTTGAAGCAGAACCAAATGCAACCAAGGGGGCTGATGAAACACAAGATCCAAAACCTGATGGGC